ATGTAGGTATATATGTAATTGGACACTTGTTTTTTAACAAATAATTTTTTGTTAATTTCATATGTTTTATTTTAGAATGTATTTTTAATTGGATTAGTTTTGTTTCTTTTCTTCTTCTTGAAATACGATTAGGAATTGAAATTAAATACAACATCTATCGTAAACTAGCTAAATTACATTCTTTGATATGTGATAGAGTAATATGACCAAATGTCTTAATTAAATTACAAGTTTATTTTATACACAAATATGGAAATATTTACATATAATTAAAAACTTTTATTCATTTTTCGACTAATTATAAAATAAAATAATAATTTTTCATATATATCTACTCGTATATATATATATATATATATATATATATATATATATATATTATAGCAATTTCATCAAATTTAATTTTGGCAACTCAAAAATCTGTCATTTTAGAAAAAAAAAATTTTTTTATACCTTTACTTAGTGCTGCTTATTATTCGCTCAAAAATTATAATATGAAATTTATAAAATGAAAAAATGTTTTTCAAATGAATCATCAACATCTTCCAATATGATTTTGTGATTTCAGTTTTTTGAAATAATGCCAAAAAAAATTATTTTTTAATTATGAAAAGAAAATATAGTCAACCATCAAATATATATATAAATTATTTTTTTTGTATATTCTTTATTGGTTATACCTAGAAAAGTAAAATGTCCAGAACACTATTAAAGTATTTTAATAAATTACTTTATTAATTTTTTTTTTATTCTTCAACTATATTGTATATTATAGAGGGTATTAAAAATATTTTTATTAATTTCCTTAAATTTTAAAAACATAATCTTTCATAAAATTTTTGTTAAAAATAGAATAATTATGCTTTGTTTTATAAAAATTAGGTAATAATTTTCAAAATTCTAATGAAAAATTAAATTATATTCCTAATAAACTAATTAATTTTTATATATGTATATGTATATGTTTTAATTTTAAATTTGAATTTTAAAATTTTTAATATCAATAATTTATTTAAGATGCTTATTATTTAAAATATTTATATTTATTTGGTCATTAAATTTTCAAAAATCGACAACGGATGGATGAGTGATTATAAAAATTTTTATAAGAAATCAAGACCATAATATATTCAGACTATAAAAATGTACTTAATTGTTATAATAAAATAAATTAAATACAATTCAGAGAGAAGTTATAGTTTGACTCCTTAATTACAATTTGAGTATAAAATTTAAATAAAAAATTACTGCGTACGTACCAAAGACTTTTCTATGCAAATTAAAAGTTCAATGAAATTTTAACTTAAATAATTAATAATATTGGATCAAACAAACCATAATTAATAAAATTGGATCAAATAAGGGCGAGTGTTTATTCATATACCAAAATATTTCAAATGATTGCATATACATTTAGAATGATACAAAAGAAAAATTAGAAAGAGATATTAATATATATTGGTAACGAATTCTAGGGCTAATTGTGTAAGTTAAGAAAAATAAGAACATTTTTTGATGTCATGACCGTCAGCTTTCTGCATTTATAGAAATTTCAAAAATCTCACAGTTTCGGAATTATATGGTGTCAAGAATTTGAGTTTCTATCAATTTTGGTTTCAAATACCTAAAACCTACAGTCTCTGGAAGAAAAGCAATATCAAAACTTTCTTCTATACGGAAATAAATTTCTAATAAAAATAATAGAATAAAAAATTTCAAATTAAAATTAAAAATAAAAAATTTCAGTTGTCTATTTTAAGTGGTGTAGAAATTTTGTAAACAAATTCACGGACGAACAGCCAAACAGAGTGTAACTTTTTGGAAAATTTTTAAAAATTAAGCATTTATTTGAAATTATAATTTTTTAATGACTTCATATGCGATGCCTCGAATTACAAAATTTATTTAAAACAAAAATAAAACTTTAATTGGCTAAAAATTATTCGTGCGACGCTAGCCTCTTTACCTCTTCTTCTTCTTCTTTACGCATATATGAAATTATAAACAAATGAGAAAATTTTGACAGACATTTCAATCTTCTCATGTTGAATATACGATCGTCTCATCTTAAATTGTTCTTATACAAGACAACAAAGGAACAAATATTGTTGTTGTTCTTGTTATTGTTGTTGTTGCTGCTTTTTTAAATAAGGAACTTTGATTAGGACTTTGACTTTTATTTTAAAAGCAAAATAATTTTTCAAAAACAAAAACGCAAAAAATAAAGCAAAAATGTACATAAGTACGTGCGTATGTGCATATACAATTTTTAAAAACATATGTATGTATGTACTTAAATTCTTTCATATATTTTTGATATTTTTTTCATTTTAAAATTTAACATTATTTTACAATAAATTTACCTTGTAGAAAGTCAAGTTTATGGTTAAAAATATATTATGTATAAAATAATTAAAAATATATTTAATATGTATATATGTATATATATGTGTACATTTGTAAATACAAAAATGTTATGTTATTATTTTTTTATGCCAAAAAAAAATCTTTTTTTTTTTTTTTTTCTGAAAAACAAACAATTTATTCTTTATTTTATTCTGAAATTATTGAAAGTTTTTCAAGTATAAAAAAGAATTTCTATTTCCTTTATTTTATTTAATTTTAATAGACCGCAAAAACTTTTATACAAATAATTTCTTTCCTGAAATATTTTAACCTTAATTAAAATCAAAAAACAAATTTCAAATAATTTCTTTTTTTTTTGCAAATAATTTTATTGTCATTGCTCTACACACATACTTAATAAATTTTCATGAACAATATTAAATAAATTTTATAATAGAAATTTGAAAAACAAACGATTTTAATTAAATTATTTTCTAATTAAGCAAAAATATTTGAAAAACAAAGACATAAAAATTTCTAAATTAGGCAATTAAAAAAAAAAAGAAATTTTTTGTTTTTAAATATTTTTAAAAACAATTCAATTATTTTTATATAATTTAAATATTTTAAATTGTAAATACAATAAATAAGTTTAATCTTGGATATCCTTCAAAATTTCAATATTTTGATTCCCTTGAATTCAAAAAAGAAGAACACAAAAATTTTATCTTAGAGGTCAAAAATTCTCAAAGATGTCAAATATTTTATAAATAACATTTTATTTGTTGTTGTTTTAGATTCCAAATATTTCGAAATATTTTTGATTTAATATTTTTTGTTTTATTTAATCAAAATAAATTTGAAATTTATAAAAAATTTATCAAACCATTTATTACAAAATTTAATTAAATTTTAAAAGAATTGTTAAAAAAATTTTCCAACAATTAAATTGGATGAGATTATTTTGATTAGATGAGATTATAAGATTGAAAATGAATTTTTCTATACAAATGATCCTATAGAAATTAATTATTATGGTATATTAATGATGAAAATAATACTGTACAAAATAATCAAAGTAAATTTTAGGTATTTAGGTGTGAATACCTTTTAGATAGTTAAGTACATATGACTTATTCAGTTTATAACATTATTATTTTTTATGAAAAACAGGAATACACTTATGATTTACATAAATAAAAATATAAAGAAATATAAAAATTTTACATTTTCTAAAATGTTTTGCCTTATATTTGCAATAATTCATTTCTCAAAACCGAGCAATTATGCTCGAACAGATTGTTCAAGGTAAGTATAATTCAAATATAAAAATCAAATACAATAAGGTAAAATAGTTTAAATTAAATATAAGAGAATAATTACAAAAGAGAAAAATTATTATAATTGAAATGATTTTCAATATCTTAATATGAATAAGTGATTTTATTTTATACCCATCAAATTTAGCAATTTAACATTAACACTCGATAAAGTTCCATAAATTTTTTTTAAAAATTTAAATATTTCTACAGCATACACCAACACAATAATTTAAACTACAATTGTTGTAAACTAAAAAGATTGAATTACATAATTAGTAAAAAAATATTGAATTAAAATTTCGAATATAAACCTTATAGTATGGAATGACAACTTATAAACAATTTTTCAGAAATTAAACCAACTTTCTATTTCGTGCTTATTAAGGAATATGTACATAAATACATATGCATGTATAAGAGTATATAGGCATACATATTTGTAAATAATAGGTGCTAATATTCACAGAATCAAATAAATATTTTTAAGTACATATATTAAGAGCAATATCATGTAAATATTAACCGATATGATTCATAATCGCATATTTTTTTTTTTAATATATTATGGAAATGGAACCACAATATTTTCAAGTTAAAGAATAGACAATTTTCCATGTCATTAAAATAAACGCCTACACGCCATCACAAATCATTTTATTTTGGTTTTTTTTTTTCTTTTTTCACTTTACTTCAACACTTTTTTTTTTTTTGTTAAGGAGGGAAGGCATTTGAAAGTAAAATTGAAAAATATTTTATCACCTTTTATACATTGTAGATTAGATTAATATAATTTAACTAAATATCTAATTTAAAAAAATCAAATAAAACTTTTTTTTTCTTTTCTGGTTTCTTTCGGACCCTATGAACATACATACATATGAACAAAATATGTATATTAAAAAATCAAATGATAAACAAGAACAATAAATTATTTTTTATAAATTTTTTGTTTAATATTTATAAAATTATAATTTTCGATTAAAAAAATGGAAAAATATAATTGGAAAACGCTAAAAATTTTCAACTCTTATTCTAAATTAAATAATAGAAATATTTCTTACCAGTTATGTGATTAAAAATAAACGTACAGCTATTTCCTGTTCTATTGAACTTTTTTTAAATATTCAAGCCTTCATCGAAATTATTTATTTTCACTTTTTTCTAAAATCAAATTTTAGTATAACCATATTTCGGGTTATCAATTTTATTATCACCAAATCTAATTGTTTTACATTTTATTTAATATACACTTTAAATTTACTTTTAATTGAATTACATACATACACACATATTTAAATTTAATAATTTAATTTTTATTTTTATTCTTTACAGTTCACAATTACGTTTTCCTGGTATATCAGAAATTTTACCAACATTATATTTATGTGGTGCTGGTGTTGCAATACCATCAATTATGGAAAAATTAGATATTAAATGTGTTGTTAATGTTGCACCAGAATTACCAGATACACCATTACCAAATAATAAACCAGTATATTTACGTGTTAATGTTTATGATCGTCGTGATGCTGATTTAAAAACATATTTTGATGAAGTTGCTGATTTAATTGAAGAAGTACGTCAAACAAATGGTAAATCATTAGTACATTGTGTTGCTGGTGTTAGCCGATCAGCTTCATTATGTATTGCATATTTAATAAAACATATGAAAATGTCATTAAGAGATGCATATTTACATGTTAAAAATGCACGTCCACAAATTCGTCCAAATTTAGGATTCTTTCAACAATTATTAGAATATGAAGAAGAATTACGTGGTGAAAAATCAGTTAAAATGATTTTTGTTAAATCATTGGATCGTGAAATACCAGATGTTTTTGAACCAGAATATAGAGCAATGGAAGAATTTTATCAAAAATGTAGACGACATTATGAAACAATTAGAAGATAAATGTATAATGAATAAAATTTATACATACATTATTATATGTATAATATAATATATAATATAATATAATATAATAAGTATATATTATCTATTAAAAATTTATAAGTATAATAAAATTTAGAATATTAAGGAACATCATTAAAAAAAAAAAAAAGAATTTTTGCAAAAAATATTAAGTATATAATAACGGTACACAGTTATAATTTTAACTTTTTATTTATTAATTACTGTTATATAAAAAATATTTTAATATAGGTATTCTAGAAATCATACACAACATAAATATATACGAGTATATTATCTTAGACGCATCAATAATGTGTTATTATTCAAAATTTTGCATTGAAATTCAAATTTCTGAAAATTGTAATGCTTGCGAATAATATCGCCATTACTAGAAAGGATGCGTCTAAGTGAATTAAATACGATTGTTTAATTACTTTGTAAAACAATGATTTCTGCCATAACTAAATAAAAACATGCAAAAATTTATCAAAATTATATTGTATAAAAATTTAGTATCATTTTAGTATTGTACATTTCTGTGAAACTAGTTAATAAGTTATTTAAGAGTTTTAATTATATGTTACGAAAATGTTATGAATTTTGAGTGAAATTAATTTTTATCTTAATTTTTTAAATGTTTTATTGTTATAATTTATTTATTTATAATTTATTATTTTTTAATAAGTGAGATTGGTCTTGTGTATATAAAATTTCTGTGATCACAGTTATTTTAATTTTTGTTTTTTTTTTTTTGGCCTTAAGTAGATATATATATGAATTCATATATTTATATTGTATTATTTTAAGTACACTCTGTAATTGAAATGAATGACATAATAATGTATAACAATTATATTTTAAAAATTAAATAATTTAATAAAATATACCTACATAAAAGTTTTTTAATTTTTGATAATATTTAGATTTTAAGATATTGAATTGAAATCACCATTAAATCTTTCTTTCCCAATATTCATCTCTGATTGAAAATTACCCACATTTGATTTAAAATTTTATGTGCTTTCTTTTGAATTATAAAACTTTTAACCAGTCTCAGATTTCATATTTTGAAATACATATGTATGTACATATGTGTAACTACGACATACTTCCATCAATAGTTTTGTTGGCGAAAATTATGCAGATACTTTTAGAAAACCTATCCCGTGAGTGATTATTGTTCTGTTCATAATAAATATTTGTAAAAAGCATTTCAAACAAACATAGACTGTCTATTACTCGTAAAATATTATATTCACGTACAACTTCGCTGATACTGTTACTAAAATAGGATTAACTGTAATTTCCAATTTTACTTTAAAGTTCACAACACAATTCAAGGTGAAAACAGAACAAGAGCAACTTTCTGTCTGCAATTAATTTTGATATGCAATTAGCTTTTTTATATTAACTTTTTTTATATTTTATTTTAAATTGAAGCGTTTTTGACTTACTATTTTTTCAAAATACTAAGTCTTTTATATTTTGAAAAAAACTTTTTAAATTTTTAAATTATATACTTACTTTTGATATGTGTGAAAATCTTTTCGTGAAACGTTAATATCGGTAATTTAAAATTTAAAATATTTCTATTTTAAATTAAATTGTAGTTAAAATAAAATTACATTCGGAAAAATAAAGAAAACTGCCCCAATCACCAAAGATTGCTCAAGAACTGCCAGTTATGTTTTCCAACTTAAATTTCATATCATTGCCATAATAATTGCAGATCTACAATTACTCAAATATTTAAAAATTTAAATGAAGGTTTTTAGTTCGAAAAACTTACTTTAGTCCACTTTATTATAAATTCTTATACGCTCCATTTTACAAGACTCCTTTGGGCCTTTCACTTTTACTTGTCAAAACAATAAATAATAATTTTTGTAGAATTTTTGTTTTTCAAACTTCATTTTCTGTGAACTATAATGTGCATTATATAAATCAACTGTCATTGAAATAAATATCAATTACAAAGGAATATGTGTTTACATATCATTGGAAATTGAACAGACCTTATTATTTTAAAGTTAAAATTATTTCGTTGCTAGCGCAATTTAACTTTCTTCTCTATCTAGTATCTGTTATCATTTTGCCATCTTGTGTCAAAATAGTATTAAAAGTGTAGAAATAGAAAACACATCATAATAACTAAACATTAAAAAGTAAAGTACATTCCATATTATGTTTACTGCCTAAATCAATTTGCCAAAAACCTTTATTCGCACAATAAAAGATGGGTCAGACAAAGAGCCAATTTACAGATGAAGAATTACAAGATTACGAGGTATTATCTTAATTTATAATTGCTTCTGATCAAAGTATTGAAATATTTCAAATTAATTTTAGGATTTAACATTTTTCTCAAAGAAGGAAATTTTGTTGTAAGTGTACACAACATGTTTATAATAAAATCAGTATATTCAAAAAATTTAACAAGAATAAGTAATACATTTTATTCAACTTTAATAAAGTAAAATTAAAATTTCAGTGCCCACAAGAAATTTAAAGCCTTAGCTCCAGAAAAAGTCGGACACAATAAAAATGCTAAACTAGCAATGAATAAGATTTTGCAATATCCTGAACTGCGTGTTAACCCGTTTGGAGACAGAATATGCAAAGTCTTCAGTTCAAGTAATGATGGTGATTGTACTTTTGAAGACTTTTTAGATATGATGTCTGTTTTCAGCGACGCATGTCCCAAATCTGTGAAAGCTGAACATGCTTTTCGTATCTACGGTATGTAGCTATCTATTTATAATTTATTAAGGAAAAAAAAACAAACTCAAAATTTTAGACTTCGATGGCGATGACATGTTGGGAGTTAGTGATTTGAAACAAGTCATAGAACGGCTTGTAGGTCCTGATAATTGTCTAAAAGAAAACGATATTAAACAACTTATTCAAAATATTTTGGCTGAAGCTGATCTAGATGACGACGGAGCTCTTTCGTTCCCAGAATTCGAACATATCATTGACAAGTCGTCTGATTTCAGCAAGTAAGATATTATTGTACTGATAACATATCGATACTTATCTAGATAAATTTTGTTATCAATAAATATTACAAATTAATGTTTGCTTTTTTTAGTTCATTTCGCATCAGGTTATAAAAATTGCGCTGTCTAGTGAGCATGAAAAACATTAAAGCAAAGTCTGAGATGTTCTTATTTTTATTTATTTTTTTAGACAAATTTTCTTTTACAAGTATTATTTTGAATTTATTTAAATAAATTATAAAGCATTAAAATCTTACAAAAACTTTTGTTTCCTTTGCTTATGAGTTAGAAAACTTATGGCTGTAAATATCCCGGCAATTTCATTCTCATAAAAATCCATGTAGTGAAAAATGAAACTAATATAAATAGGAAACCCATAGATGTTAACAAAATTCTGTTTAAGTTCGTTTTCCCCGGTCCATTACTATTGTCCATTATAATGAATCCCAAACCACCAACTGTAAATAAAAAGCTACTAGCTAAACCCTCCATTATATACTGCCCATTAACTCGATATGGCATGAATGCTACTGGACGGCTATGACCATGTTCATCCATTGTAGAACCCACACTAGGAGGTTCAACAATGACATCGTAAATTATACCTAAAATTTCGGATATTAATTATGAGTTAATATAACATAACTTTTAGTACCTCCAGTGACAAGAAAATATGAAAATAATATCATCGAAAAAGTAGCCATAGGTGAAGGTAATCTCAGCCATGATGGAGCTCGAATTCTTATATCAAAAGGTAGTATATAAAATGGTATATTTAATATTAATTCTAGCATTTTTGGTAAACAAAAACTTTACTAAACAAATAAACTAGCTTTTATAAAAATACCACTCAAAAAATACTGATACTACACAATGTCAACGTCACATACATTTGTCATAGCCGGTCAAATGACAAATAAGAGTATCGATAGCAACAGTTTTTTTTAGTTTTACATTAGAGAAAGTTTTTCAAGTGCGTCGTTTATTAAAGTCTATTTCGTTTGTAATATATTTGTGCGCATTCAAAATCCTAATTCGTACCGCCGCGCGGTAGAAAGCATTTATTTTTATAAATTTGTGATAATTCATGTTTGTACGAAACGCCCGAAGTAATGAATTTTATTTTTTAAGTTCAAAACTAAAAAAACTTTTATGATTAACTGAAATTCTTGTCTACTCTAATAGAAAAACAGTACTGAAATAAAGGTAAGTAGGTAGTTGAAAACTAAAATAAATGCATACCTATTATCAACATAATTTTCCAAATGCATTTTTTAAATGTAAATTAGAAATCGATAGCCAGTTAAAAGAATTTTATATACAATTTGTGTTTGATCAATAGCGCTACAGATTTTTTGTTGTGTAATTTTTAATATTAATTTCTAAAAATGAAAGAGTTTAAGTAGTTTATAAACGAAAACATTTTGTATATAAATTCGGCAATATAGGAACAATCTATAAATTTAAATTAACCTGCAAATTTAAATGTCAAAGATTATCACATATTAAAAAAATATTCAGAATTTAACATCTTCAAGTATTATGATATATAGTTATATCTTTAGCCTGATGTAACAAGAAGTAAACGAGCTTGCAAATCAACTCTATAACACAAACACAACAATATTATTGTGAATAGTCACATAGCCACTTTTCATATTGTGAATAAATTATTTGATTACTTGAAATTGACATTTCTCAATCAAGCATTTCAGGTAATTTCAATTTGACAGCAAACAAGAAGCTAATAAACTTTAATAACAATAATAATACAACTAAGGATATATTTTCATTCATCAAATTGCTTTCAACACTAATTTAAAATTTTGCTGGGAACGGAGAAGTTGTTCACCATTACTAACTAAACTTTATTTTAAAATTAAAGCTACTCCGTGTTCTAGATTATTCGAATATTGAAAGCGATTCTGCAATTTGCGATTGCTCATTTCAAAAGAATATTAATCTAGAAAAAAAAATAATAAATTAGACACAAATTTTTAAAATGATTATACCAATACGCTGTTTTACATGTGGAAAAGTTATTGGTAACAAATGGGAGTCATACATAGGACTCCTACAAGCTGAATACACTGAAGGGTAAGCCTTTTAAAAAAAAAATTTAATTTTGATGTTTAGTAGCATATATTTCTAGAGATGCATTGGATGCATTGGGCTTGAAAAGGTATTGCTGCAGGAGAATGTTATTAGGACATGTTGACCTTATTGAAAAACTTCTTAATTATGCTCCTCTAGAAAAATAGAGTTTTTTATGTAGAACTTAAAACTTTCTTTATTGAATAAATAAAAATATAAATATAACAATCCTTTAATAATTCCTCCCTTTACTTTATTACATACAAGTGTTTAATAATAAATTAAAATTCATTTTAAAATTTAATATTTATGTATTTAATAAACTATTTATACAATCTTTCCACATTGTACCTACATACCTACATCCAATTAAGGCGAATAAAATATTTCTACTTTGAACACAACCTTAAACTCTCTTCATATAAACGTGTTGAAATTACATCTTCGAATACGTGTTTTGACTTAGTTTGCTTCAAATTTTTGATGTAATACCCAGTATATGGATTTAATTCCTCTGTATTTATATTATCTGTTGCACAATGTATTATGCTTTGTGCGCCTTGTTCAGCTGTTCGTAACATAAGCCATATAACTGGTGAAAAAGCTACAAAATGATACCATTTCGGTTTGTAGTCTCTAAAAAGGGATGTATAACACAATCCTGGGCAAAGAGTATGACAATCCACTCCTCGCTTATATAATTCTCTAGCAAAATAAAAATTTGCTAATTTTGAATTAGCATAGTATTTGTTATGACGGCTGTTGGATTCCGGATTTGTATTTGTATTAGTAAATTCATTAAAATCAATTTTCCCACGCTCATGCAAAGATGAAGTGACAACAACTACTCTGGATTTATTCCGTCGGACATTATCTTCTAGCAAATTATATAACAAAAAATGTCCTAAATAATTAACACCGAAATGCATTTCAAATCCATCTGCTGTTAGAGAATGCTCTTTTTTTGCTAAACCGGCGTTATTTATAAGGCAATCGAAATTTGGGTAGTCTGATTTAATTGTGTTAGCGAATGTTTTAATTGATTCAAATGAACTTAAATCCAATTTAATAAAAGACATTTCACCATTTCCAGTATACTGGCGAATTTTTGAAATCGCCTGTTCGGCGTTTGTAGAATCTCGGCAAGCCAAAATTACCTTAGCACCCCTTTTGACCAAATGTTTTGAAGTTTCATATCCCAAGCCGGTATTTGCTCCAGTTATAATAAATAATTTGTCCTTTAACGACGAAGTAGACTTCACCCAGCCCCATTGTAATTCACGAATTTTTCGAATTATATAAATTGCAGAAACAGTTCCCAATGTACCAAACATAATAAAATATAAAACCATTTTTAGAAATATCGGAATGTCTTCTTTGTTTTGTTGTTTTGATAAAAACCATAATATGACTCAACAAAAATCATCTGGCAATCATCACTCAAAAATCGAGTGATTTTCATTAAACACGCAGATGTAAAGATTTCTTTTTAGTAAATTTACTATTTTATTACCGTGTGTAACTTAATGTCAACTCTTTTTGTTGTGTTATTAAATTGATTAAACTCATTTAATCTAATAAAGTTTTTACTAAATAATGATATTAATCATTAAATAGAATAAAAGTTTCGAAAATATGATTTAATAAATAAAATATTTCGAATATCATTAAGCCGTTATGTTTACACAAATATTTTTGTCTCAATGATAAATGTATGTTTCGTTACCCTTTCCAACAAATTTTGACGACAAGGGTTGTCGATTTTTAGAGTTCCTGAAGCATACGCCGATCAAATTAAAAAATTTTGTAATCATACAAAAACGAACGCGAAAGAGGTTGGTTTGTCAATTCATATTTTTTCAAATTTAAAGTGTCAAAATAGAAAAAATTATGTTCTGTGTTTGGAGTGCGATCTTTATTAAGGGGCGTTTTCGTTTTTTTAAAATAACATTGTATAAATACAACAACTGTCGAATTTCAGAAGGAAATAAATAAAATCTTTATCTAGCTACCGAGAAAGGTAATCTTAGTAAAAATAATCCAAGCCGACTCTTCAACAATTACGTTTTGACAGTATAGAGTTCGTCCTTTTATACAGTTATACGGTATCGTGGTATAACAGAAATAATGGCAAAATTGTAACGATCTGACAAATACGTATGTTATTTTAAAATTTATTATAACTGTATATATGAATAAATAAAATAAATACATATATACTTACTAAATGCTAAATAGAGAGATAAAAACAATGAGAATTAAAGAGAAAAAAATATTTTATTATAATTTTTAAACATTTCTAACATATTCTCAAAATCTACAAATGTATACATATACATAATGTATATACCTGACCTGACTTAAGTAATAAATTATACCATATATAAATTTACATTATCTTTATATTATACAAAATGCACTTTTATATACATATACAGTAACCATATACACAAACCTGTTATCTTATTTTCAAAATCTGTTTATCTAAATGTGTGTCAATTATTAAATTCGATATATATAAAAAGTTATATAGTTACAATGAAAAATTTTAAACACCTTAATAAAAATAGTATTAATAAAAAAATATATACAAATCTCTCAAAATGTCTCCTATCAAAATAAAAAACCTAAAATTTGATCATGCGCATTCTTTTTTGTAAAAAGAAAATACCATTATTTAAAACTTAATATTTATTTTATAACTATATAGATACATAAAAGATAAAGAAAATTTATTTTTTCTACATGAAAATTTAAGAGAGACTCAATTATAGTTGTGGCATACGCATGTTCGATTTTTTATCTCAACTTTGTTCCTACATACATATAACATATACATTTAAGTATAACAATTTCTTTTTTATTTTTTTTTTAATATTCAACCCCAATTATTAATATACATAAAAATAATAATAATATTATAAAAGTTATATACAAAAATACTGAATAAATCATAAATAAAAAATTTTATCCTGGAAAATTATACTGGAAATTTGTATATTTGCTATTTGAATATTAGAAAATATTTAATTCAAATTCTCTTAAGATCCCCCATTACAAAAGCAATGCAATATAACATCTAGATATAAGGTATATTTTGCAATATTTTACCTAGGTATATGTATATAGAGAATAAAAAACAATGATTCACATATGTTTTAGCAAAAATAGAAAAGAAGGGGTATGTACATTTAACACTAGTGTAGTGTAAAATAACAAAAATAAATAAAAAAATTTCCAAAAATAATGTTATGCATATAGTTACTCAGTTTTATAAACGATATCGAGAATTTAGGTAGAATTTTGGTTAAAAATTTTGGATTCTTAAAATAAAAACCAGAATATTAAAAATTTTTTTCTTTCAATTTGATAATATGGATACAAATATATAATTTTTTGTAATTTATTAAATTTATATAAATTTTTACTAATATAGAGGAGTAGCTATTTATATATAAGATATTAATAAATGATTTTTTCTATATTCAAAGGCAAACTATTAATATAAATTTTTGTATATTTAGAAAATTATACAATCCTAAATTAAGAGCGAATACATCGAAAGAAATTCACTTAGAAAATATATATATATACTTATAGAAATCAGTCATTTAACTAATATGAAATTCTATATTGGATTATATATACATACATATATTTATATAGGAAATTGAAATAATCACATAATAAGGTATGTAGTATTGTAATAACTTAGAAAATTCAATTATTTATGATGAATTAATATTTTTTTTCACATTATATAAATATATAATACACAGGAATATACACACACATGTATATACATATATACACTTAATATACTTTCATTTTATTCGATAAAGGAAAAAACTCCATTTTTCCAATGAATATTTCATTTATTTGAATAAATATACATAATAATAATAAATATATTCTCCCTTAAGGATAACGTATGTCCTTTTTTTGATAAAGCTCTCATATATTCTCACTCATATTATTTTGAAAATGTGAAGAGACAAGAAAAATGAACAAAAAAGAAAAACCCGAAGAGAGAACCTCTGACTGTATAGCAATTTTTCATTTTCGTTTTAATTTTTTTTTTTTGTATATGCATGAGGAGAAAAAAGAACTCCAAAAAAAATTTTTAGTTTCATATTTAATTCGGTAATAAGAGGAATGAAAACTTTTGCAGTATCTACTTTTTTTAACAAAGAAAAAAAAAAAAAAAATTTTTTTTAATATAAAATTTTTCTAAAACAAAAAAAAATTTTCTACAACTATAGAAAAATATTTAAAAGCTAAAATTAATAATAAATACCTTAATCAATACACTTTAATTTTAAAAATTTTTAATAATTATAAATTTGTAATTTAAAGTAGTTTACGAAAAAAATTTTAGGATAATAATAAGGAATAAAAATACATAAAAATTCACAATTAGATGTATTCAAAATAAATATATATACCCCATATACATAAAAAAAAAACCAAAAAGAAAAAAATTTTTTTATACATATATACATACATACATACCATATGTGTAATGTTAAAAAATCAGAAATATAATATTATTAGTAAAAGTGAAAAGAAATTCATTAGTTGTTTCAACCCTGGCCCCTGTTTTACCAATTTCTGGGTCGGGTCAACCAACCCAAATACCCACTTGTATTCAAGAAGTTGCCTTATCAATTTTTACACAACATCATCATCAGCAAGATACAAACGATTCAATAAAATCAACAAATTATGATTATCATTCAAATCAAGAACGTATTGAATTATTAAAAAAAAAATATGAATTATATTTTAATGAAGAATTTCCCTGTGAACCACCAACACCACAACAACAACAACAACAAACATTACCACCACTATCATCATCAACAACAACAGCATCAGATATAAAAACAACAACAACAACAATACAACTACCATCACATAATAATTTTATATTATCATCATCATCATCTTCAGATGATTGCTTAAATAATATTACTACTATTCAATCATCAAATAATATTAAAAATTATTTATCAAGTTGTTCAGCTCCAATTATTACAACAATATCATCATCAACATCATTACCATCAACAACAACAGGAATAAAAACAATAACTGGGAAAAAATCAACAACAACAACAGCAATTGATAATATTGAATTACCAATAATAGAAAAAACAACACCAACAACGAAAATAGATAAATATTTTTCATTTAATAATGATGATAATGATAAATTATTATTATTAGATTTGGATGATGAAAAAAGACCACAAATAAATAAAAATCATTATAAAAATAATCAGCATGAAATTAATGCATCATCAATACTACATAATCATAATAAATTTTTTCATTCATCAAATATAATTAATATAAATTCATCAACTAGTAATTTAATAAATTCTATACCATTAAAAACTTCAATAATAAAATCAACAACAATAAATAATTATAATAATGATGATAATAATGATGATGAAAATGATGATGATAATGATGATGGTAATAATGATGATAATGATTATGACGATAATATTGCAATACGCAAAATATGGTCATTAAGTTTTCAAGATGATACAACAGCAATTAAGGATCATCATCACCGTTCAATTGATTTTTTACCATCACAAGAAAAATTTCAAATATCATCAACATCATCAATACAAAATGAGGAAAGATTAATAAAAAATTATCAGCAGGTACAACAGCAGCCTCATCATCACCATCATCATTATTTTCATCAAAATTTTTTTCAAAATCAACAACAACTACTACAACATCATCATCATCATCATCATCACCATTTACAACAATTGCAATTATTACAACAACATAACAATCAACAACAACATGAAGATGATGAAAAAGCTCAACCTGTTTTTTTATCATTATCATTGTCGCCACCAACAAATCGAAGAAAAGAAATGCCTGCACTAAAAGGATCTTTTATTAGCCTGTAAGTATATATTAAAATATTTATATATATGAGTGTATATTTTTATATTATAAAAATAAAAATTATATTATAAACTTTTATAGAACATGCAATGTACGATAATAATTTATTTATATTCTTATATTACAATGAGTAATTCATTTTTCTTTTTTAATTCTATATTATATACCTTTACATATATATAACTGGTTTTATATTGCATATATGTATATTACGAAATATAGTATAATATTGTCCATAATTTATATCTACATTTTTAGTTCCAAGTATAACAATATGAACACACTTATATTAAATATTGTTATAAAGTTATACATAATATATACTTAATTACGTGTATGAATAAATGCACCAACAAATATGTTGCAAATAATATCCTTTTCAACTATACGGATACATATACTTACATACAATTTTAATTTGATAAAATAGAAAAAAAAAACTGTAATAAAGAATTTTTTTATTTTGTAATTTAATAATTACATATTAATTTATTCATTCCAGTTTTTTCCAAATCATGTATACATTATGTTCTTTGTATACCTACAAAATTTTTATTATATTATGTGTGTGTACACTCATATACGTATGTATATATCACAATTTACTTATATATAAATAGAACTTATATATTATAGAAAAAAAATAAATGCATATACATAGTATATATAGTATATATATATATGTACATAGTATGTATACATATGTATTATATACATATAATACATATGTTTTAAATGTACATATTTTTAATTATATACTTAAAAAATTTTATAAAAAAATCATACTGAAATATACCTACACCAATATACATACTAAACAGTAAAATTTCTAAAATCATGTATACGATCATACAATTATGTATGAAGTACATGTATTTTATATACAAGTATACAAAAATAAGAAAATTTTTGAAAGAAAAAGGATGAGAAAATTCTTGCATTTTCTGTTGCCAGTTTAGTGTATCTAAAAATTTATTGATAACACTATTACGAGTATTCTATATGTTGCATATATTTGCAAATTTATACACATACTCAATATTTCCATTATATGCACACATATCATATACATAATATGCATCTTAGCATACACAATTGTTGAAAAAAATATATTTAAAAGGAAAACAGGTGGATTTTCTAAATTGGTTATAATATTATGATATTTTATTAAATAAATAAATATTAAGAAAATTCAATCTTAAATTTTTTGACGAAATTTTTATGGTTTTCGAAATTATTGCATTTTATTATTTAAGTCTTATTACAACAAGTGTAATTATTGACTTACAATACATGGAGTAATATTTTTCAAATATTTAACTATAATTGTTTCTTCAATTTAATTTTTTAAATGTTTAAAGAATTTAAAGAACAAAAAACAATTAAAACAGTGAATTTCAAAAATAAATTAATTTTTTTTATTGTAATTTTTTGCATAAATTGCCTATATTTTAGGGAACATTATTTGAATAAATTTCGCCTTATGATATGCAATATTTTCAAAATATATTGTAATGCTACATACGTTACTCTCTATATTTCATGAATTAAAGAACATAATTATCGTGGCATTTTAATCTATCTACTAGTTCACATGAACTTTAATTATAAAATATTTTATTTTAATTTTATTTCTCACATGTCATAATAATTAATATTTAACAATCAACAAAATTGAAATAAATTATATTTAGTTAATGCTATTATTCTAAAATTAATATATATACAAATACGTAATATGCACGTAAATGCAAAATAATTTTTTATATGTATATATTGTTTCGTAAATCCATACATATTATGTATGTATATTCTTAAATAGTCACGCTATGAGCAGTGAAATTTATTATTAATATAAGTGTACGAAAATAAATAATTTTTTTAATTTCTAAGGTAATAAAAGTTGCTTCCATTAATTTTTTTTTAATTAGAAATGAAATTAAACCTTATTATATAAATTAAGCCTGTCATAATAATAGAAATGCAATTTAAGAGAGTATATTAAAAGAAAAGGAAGAGTGCACTATTAGAAATTCTAGAATCTAATATGTATTTTTAAAATCTAACAATTCGGTAGATTATTTTATTTTATCCTTTTTTATTAGTTTAACAATTACGGAGTTAACTCGAAATTTTAAATTATTGTTTATAGAAAATTTTAAGTTGCACATCCTATAGGCTTATGGGAAATAGAAGATTTTTCATGATAAGAATACATAATATAAGAAAAAATATTTTTCAACTAACAAAAAATACCCAACAAATTCATATTAATAAAAGTCGAATTGCAATATTTTGTACTAATAAGTTTCACAAAGTTGTAAAATTGCATTTTCGAGTTCTTTTTTCTAAATAATTTCAAAATTTTTAAAATGTGGGATAAAATGTTTTCCCCAATTAGCTTTTTTCTCCAATTAGTTCTTAGAACAAGAAAGAAATTGCTTAAGTAATACTTAAGAAACTTAAGTAATAAGGTACCTATACCATTTAAATTACCAGAAAAATAATTTCTATATTGATTCTATAAGCCTGTATAGGTTAAATTTTAATTTATTTAATTATAATATTTATTTCGATATATGTACATATATATATCGAGTATATGTACGCACATATATATTTTATTTATAATTAATGATGCGTAATACAATAATAAACTAGAATTTTTTATTTCATTAATGCTTTATAACAATAATTTTATTATATACAATATATTAATATATACCTTATATATTCATGTATACATACAAACTATATTATTTACATAAATATTTACTAAATAAATTGTTGCTTTTCATCAATATTTCTATATTAAAATAAAAGTAATTATCTTGAACTATAATATATTATTTATTTATACATACGAGTACATTTTATTCAAATATATTTAGTTATTATAATATAACGTAATTATAGAATTTGTATATGTATTTATAATATATAGAATTATATATATATATGCGTATACATAATAAAATTTTTTATGTGTACATATAGGAAATTTTGCGTAGTTAATATAATAATTAAAATTCCAAAAATAATTAAAAAAAAATACAATAAAAAATTTTATTTTCTTATTACACTATATATACATTTCATTTTATTTTTTTTTTTTCTTCGGAAAAATTAAATTATAGACAAAAATTTAATTAATTAAAAAAAAACATAAAATTAACAAAACCATATTATGTTCTCTATATGTACATATATACATATATTATAAAGTACATAATATAAAATACATAAATATTAAATTATTTAGAACATATGTACATTATAATAAATACCTAATACATAAATAAATACACATATTTACATAAGTACATTTTAATTTATGCGTAAATGTTATAATCACATAATTACATACAATATACATATCCATATATGTATGAACTAGGATATACAGCCACCTTATACAAACAATTTAAATACATACTTACATATGTACATATCAAAGGGTAGTAAAAAAAAATTTTACATAAATAAATTTTTGAAAAAAAAAAAACAAAATAAAATTCGAAAAAAAAAAATTTAATATTATTTTAAATTAGAAGAAAAAGAAAAAACAAGAAAAAACGAAAATTATTCATGAAGAGGGTTTTAATTTTTAATATCAATAAAATTAAAAAAAAAAAAAACACAAAAAAAGCAGGAAAACTAAAAATTTTTTAAAAAAGAAAACAAACATAAATTTTTTTTCTTCTTTTAATTGTTCTCCTTTTTTTTTATATATAGTGTGTACTTACCGAAAATTTTTGATTCTTATGTGTGTATATAATAAAAAAATATGATAACAGAATAATCTTCTCTCTACATTTCATATGTACGCATATGTATATTGATAACAGTTAGGTAAAAAGGATTTCTATAATATGAAGTATATATATACACACATACACATATATACATATAAACATATTAATGTAAATACGTAGTATATACACTAAAAATTTATTATAGGTACATACCAAAAAAAAAAAAAATGGAGTATGCAAATATTTATACATGTGAATATACACAAAACAATTATATACAAATATATACATATCGGTCATTTGCAGCAACAGTGACATAACTCAAAAAATAATAATTTCTGAGCTATTTATATAGGTAGTTCTTATTAACATTCCAAATTTTTGTGCAAAAAATACAAGTTTTCTTTTAGAGTTTGAAAATTGATGCTTTGTTATCTTAAAGAACAACTTTATTAGAATAGAAAGAATAGGAAGGTCAAATGATAAAAGTATTACTATATACAACAATATTAATAATATTCAGGTATATATGTAAAAGAAAAATAAATGTACAAATTAATATGTAAAAATAAATAATATATATATTTGCCCTGATCTGATTATGAATAAAATATGTATACTGCGTTTACATGATGTTGATGATCAATCAGCACTCCCCCTTAACTTCATGTGATTTAATCATACAAATTCCTACAGCTGACACAAAAATTTTTCTAATTTGAAAAATGTTACCCTTTTCTGTCATGATATGACTTCAATTGTTCATTGATATTTAATATTTACATGTTCATTAGTATAATTGCATTTCTTATAAAATGATAACATATATCAATATGCTTATTTCTAATATTTGTTTATGTTATCTAATAAAATATATAATTTTATAAAATCTATAAAGATTCCATTTATAATTTTCTATATAAAATAAAACTATAATGAAAAAAAACATTATTAACTTCAACACTTTAAAAATTCACTTTTCACTCAAAATGTCCAATTTTTGAGTTATGTCAGTGTTGTACTGTACAACAGTACTAAGAGCGAGATGTATAAATAAATCAGTATACATGTTGGATAAATATTATATATATACAATTTTTTTTTAAATAATACATATATATATATATGTTGTCTGTAAATATTTTGTTGAAAACACGAACTATATCGTGGTATTGTATGTATATACCCTGCTTAAATATAAAATATCCCCCATATGAATTAAAATATTGAAATAAACATATTT